TTTTTTTTTAGCTACACCATTTAATGGAGAAACGCAGGGGAAAAGGCAGAAATATAATGATAATATAAATCAATAATATAATTATAAATATATAAATAATATAATTTGGAAGTTTGGCAGACCGGATTAAATAGTCAAACGAGCCACATCCGGCCCCCGGGCCATAGTTTGCCCATGCCTGTGCAATGATCTGTTTATTTCCCCTTAAATTAATCTGATTCCCAAGCTTAGTAATGTATTTAGATTTGGTTGCACAGTACTTGTTTAAGAATTTAACTCTTAAGGCAAGGACAGGAAGCAGGCAGAACCCAAAATGCAGCACTGGGAGGGACTCTTTCTGGGGCAGGTCGTTTTATTATTAACAAAGTCCAAATTAACGAAACACGAACAACTACCAGGCATGGGATTCTCCAGGCAGAGGTGGGACCAAGTCATTGCTTTGTAAGTCATAAGTAAGTCTCAAGTACTTTGCACTCAAGTCCGAGTCAAGTCTCAAGTCAAGACAGGCAAAGTCCGAGTCGAGTCCAAGTCAAGACTGAAAAGCGTCAAGTCGCAAGTCCTTACGTTTCCGTCTCGAGTCCTTTTAAACAAAAGGGTTTCGGAGAAAGAATCGAGTCTTGTCGAGTCAAAGGGCTCGAGTCCAAGTGAAGTCACGGAGTCACTGACGTTAAAGTCCAAGTCGAGTTCCAAGTCTCTTTTACATTTTGTCAAGTCGAGTCTAAAGTCATCAAATTGACGACTCGAGTCCGACTCGAGTCCAAGTCAAGTGACTCTGTGAGTCCACACCTCTGTCTCTTTGTAACACGGAACACGAGGAAACACAGAACAGGAAACTCACGAACTGCTACAGAACACGAACAGCCTGACGGAACGAACTGGACAATGATCCGACTGCAATGATCCGACTCCAATGATCCGACTGCAATGATCCGACTGCAATGCTCCAACTGCAATGATCCAACTGCAATGATCCGACAACAATGATCCAACTGCAATGATCCGACGACAATGATCCGACAACAATGATCCAACTACAATGCTCCAACTACAATGCTCCAACTACAATGCTCCAACTACAATGCTCCAACTACAATGCTCCAACTACAATGCTCCAACTACAATGCTCCAAC